GTCGGCTATTTCGAACTTGATTCGAAAAAAAAAAATGACGTGCATCAAGGTCCTATTATGTTTAATGTATGTACCAAATTTGAATGAAATCCGTCCATGCATAACTGAGATCCGGGTCTGGAATGGTGAAAATGTGCGATTTCAATGCATTTTCGGCCTTAAAGTGGCCGCCATTTGGCTATCGTTAATGAGATCATGAAACAAATGCACATACATATTTGTGACATGATGTACCTTGTGTGTGTGAAGTTTGAACTCGATCAATCCAAGCATGTCTCAGATACGGATCCAGAACTGAATTCTTTAAAACAAAATGGCCGCCAGTCGGCCATTTCGAACCCGATCCAAAAAAAAAAAATGACGTGCATCAAGGTCCTATTATGTTTAATGTATGTACCAAATTTGAACAAAATCCGTCCATGCATAACTGAGATCCGGGTCCGGAATGGTGAAAATGTGCGATTTTGATGCATTTTCGGCCTTAAAATGGCCGCTATTCGGCTATCGTTAATCGGATCATGAAAAAATGCATGTGCATATGTCCCATATAATGTGTGATGTATGAGTGAAGTTTGAACTTAATCGGTCCATGCATGTTCGAGATACAGGTGATCACGGACGCACGGACACAGGGCAAAACATAAGTCCCCGTTTTCGGACTGCGTCCGAACGGGGACTAATAAAAGGTTAAACAAATTAAATAAATAAAATAAAATAAAATAAAAACATACAAAAAACTAAGCTCATACATTACTGTAACAGAGAAAACAAATATTAAGACTAAATTATCATACAATAAAAAGATAATCTATTAGCAAGGGGTATTCCGTTGTATCTGTCAGGTCTCAGTTTTCAAGTTATGGTCACTGAGGCGGAATTATTTAAATTTTCGCGCATCTCAATATTTTGCAGGGTAACAAGGTAGGTTTCAAAAGCAAAATTGTTTTTTTTTTAATTATCTGTATGCTCTTAATTATTTATATTTCATTTTGTTTTGATTGATTGTCGTTACGTAATTCACTTTTTCAAGTTGATATAAATGATGTTTGTATATTGTTATTAATTTGTCCTAATTGTCTTGCTGTTAGAATTTCATTGTTGTCAACCAGGTTAGACTGGTTGATGTTATTCAAAAGGGAGTCTACCATTTACCATTAATTTCTTAATATTAATAATTTACTATTAAACTCGAAAACATCGTAATGTTATTACTTCTACGCCAGGTAACACCAATTAAAACCAACATCGATTGCAGTTTCCCTCTTCTAATAATCAAAACTACCCTTGATACCCTGAAGAAGTATGTCCATTGTTTCACAACAACGACTGTCCCAAGAGATTTTCGTCTTCTCAATTTCTCAAGATAAACGTCCCAGGGTTGTTTTGTTTACTAGAATGAAATGTCCTTTGGCAGCATTTCTTGAATTAATTTCCATTGCACAAAAAAGCAGCAAATACTGTTACTGAAGCACAGAATTGGCATGAATTTTTTCCCCGGCCATTCACGCAAACTACAAATCAAGACATTTACCGCGCGTCCAGCCGATGGATGATGATGGATGTATTGTGACGTATTTTGACACCCCCCCCCCCCCCCCCGGATTCTGACCTTGCATTCTTGCCACATTTACTGCCCTTTCATACCCGTTTAATTTCCTTTCATTATTTCATCCAGATTTGACAATATTTTAAATTTAATCCCAACCTTCATTTCGCAGTCACTCTAGTTTTTACTTTTCTAAAATTATTTTACTGATCAAAAGACTTTTCACTCCCATCATGCAATCTCCCATAGTACTTCTGCAGACACAGCGGTGATCACCAACATATGTACAATTATCCTCACTCTCAGGAGCTGAGGAATAAGATAAAAGGATATTTTATTGCATTTTCAGAAGAATATTTTCTATCAGTTATTAGCAAAACTAAAAAGTGGTACATGTACAAGTAACATAAGAAAAAAATGACAATTTCATTTCATTTCGTGTTGTCAAGCACAAAACTTCCAGTAGTAAGAAGTATAATTCACCTCCAGTCTCATTTATGTAATCTATTTATGTAAGGCGACATGCGATGATGAACTCAAGATAACATGATCTCTCAATCAACACTTGAAAAATGTCTGAACTCTCACAGAAATTGTGACTGTATTTTTTTTGGACAGTTGGTGTTCCTGAACAGTATGTTTTCAAATACCTGCATTATGTTATATATTGTATTGCAATTTTATTTTAATTAATAATGACATACAGTGTGTACATGCATTTAAAGTGGGTGTTTTATAGTGTTTTATGTTATACATGTACATGCATGTTTCACCTGTAGCATGTTTGTTTTTGTTTTTTGGGGGGGGGGGGTAATTGTGATTGTTTTTTTTCTTTATATTTATTAAGCATATCAATGAAAATATTGTTATTGTTATACCATTTTACATCAATAAAATGTTTTATAAATATTTTATAGATTACCATAAAAAAAACCATGCCTTTGTGAAATAAATAGTATAAAATGTGTGTTTCTTAAAAAAATCTCTTTTTTGGTAATTATATTTGTTATACAATATTTATTTTCAATTTCACTGTGCAGACCCGCTCCCCACCATTTATATTTTTCAAGTATTGTTAAATACTTTATTTTAGCTGAATTTAATTTTCGCTGAATCAACATTTTGGCTGTTTGTATAGAATTTATTTTCATTGATTTTTGATAAGTTGAATGTGAAATACAGCAAAAAGATATTTTCACTAGACTATATTTTCACTGAATCGTTCCTTCAGCGGAAATTAATGTAGTTTATTGTACTTACCGTACTGTTTGTTACACACGCCCACCTCCTTTCAGTTCTAGGTAGTGCACGTGTAAGAGCAATAAATGGAACAGCCTGTCAATATTCAAGGTTTCGTAAAATTCCATGAATTATAAACAAACCATCGTCCACAAATAGGAAGAATGTGTTATTAAAAACCCACAGTACAAGCTATCACAACAGCAAAACATAGTTTGCTAATAAGTAGCACTAGTAGGCATGTTCTGAACAGATTGGAGTTCCAAGTTTCATCGTTCGAAGTTACAGTTGCTTGTCCATTACCAAATAATATACAATTAGTGGGAATCTTACCTTTCAAACGTCCAACAGGATCTTAATTCAACTGGAATAAATCAACGACCGCGGGAAAATACCAATAAAAATCCGGGGAGATCCCCGATAAAGTCTCATTGTGTTCATCACGAAAAGGCAGTTGATTCGTTTTGAAGTATCGCGAGATTTGGCGAGTTCTATCATGGCTGCCTCCACGGGAAAGAGTTTGCTGCGACTTTTTCGAACACACTCGTCGTTTTTACAGAATTACATTCATTTCAAGTTACCAGGTTTAGGTAAATTATCTTTTTGTTAAATATTTACAATCATTCTCACGAATGTTATTGTACTAATGAATTGTTCAGATTATTTCAAAAGCATGGACATGTGCGCTGTGGGGGCTGAGTGATAAAGGGTAGTTCAAGTTGGAGGCAACCTGTAACAGGACCGGTCCCACTAAACACCCACCGGGACCTACCGGTATCACTCTCGCATTCGCGCCTGTTAGTGGCGAGAGTGGTTAGAAACTAGAATGGCAACAGTCGGGCGATTTTTTTCAAACATCGGGTGTATATATTTATATTTGTATTTTTTATTAGACGCATAAAATCCTTAGGAAAGGATAAAAAGGGTCTTACAGAAAGAAATTAAAAAAAAACTACAATCTAAAAAAGAAAACAAAGAATAAAACCTTTTCTAAAAAAATAAAACAAATCAAAAACAATAAAGACAATTTGCAGCCAATGGTGAATACAGAATATAGAATGAACACAAAATGTAGCCTAATACACTGATTTTTAATTTAAAAAAATACAGGACTGTACTCAGGGCTACGATCAGTCAACTTCACGGAAGAGAGCAGTTGGCCGTGTTGGCAATATCCCGATGGTCAAAATAATAAGACCCTGGGGCCTAGTTTCACGAAATCTCGCGCTATAGTAGTTTATTATTGTTTCGTTTTCTCATAGGATTCCATCCACCTATCTCATTAAAATAGGTACAGTGGCTGCAGTTCTGTAATTCTCTTGTCCGTTTGCTTGCCAAGAA